GGGAAAAATTATTTACCCAATACCCATCAGATAAGGGGTTAATATCCAAGATCTACAAAGCACTGGTAGAACTTTATAAGAAAAATATCTTCCAATTCCATCAGCAAATGGTGACAACAAATGAACAGAAACTTCTTCAAAGAAGAAATACACATGGCCCAAAGGCACATGAAAATGTTCTACATCACTAATCATCAGGGGGGTGCAAATCAAAATAACAGAGATATCATCTCACACCACAGAGCCTGGCATACATCCAAAAGAATAAGAACAACCAGTGCTAGTGTGGGTGTTGGGAGAAAGGGACTCTCATTCTATTGTTGGTGGGAATGCTGACTGGTCCAGCCTTTTTGGAATACAATACGGACATTCCTCAAACAACTAGAAATTGAGCTCCCATTTGACCTAGCAATATCCCTTCTGGGAATATACCCTAGGGGTACAAAACCACACTGCAGAAACAACATCTGCACTTGTTTGTTCATTGCAGCACTGTCCACAGTAGCCAGCATCTAGAAACAACCCACGTACCCACGAACAGAAGACTGGCTAAAGAAACTAGGGTACATCGACACAATGGAAAACTATGCAGCTGTTAGAAAAAATAAAGTCATAAAATCCACTTATAAACGGATGGACATAGAGAGTGTCATGCTGAGTGAAATGAGTCAGGAGAGGGACAGACATGGAATGACTGCAATCATTTGTGGGATATAAAAAATGACATAGTGTGAGATAGTAGAAACAAGAGCCAGGACAAATGACCCATGGTAAGAAGACTGCCTCAAGGGCTGAGGAAGTGAGCAGTTGGGATAGAGAAAGGACCACTATGACAATAATGGTTGGAAGCGATCACTCTGGATGGGAGATATGTGCTGAGAGTGGGTAAAGGACCAAACATGATGGCCTCTCAGTATCTGTATTGCAAACAAAATGAGAGAGAGAGAGTATGAGAGAGAGGGAGAGACAAAAAGTGCCTGCCATACAGGCTGTGGGGGCCGGCAGGAGGGATACAGGGGATATTGGTGGTGGGAAATGCACACTGGGAAGGAAGGGTGTTGGAATATTATATGACTGAAACCCAATCATAAAAGCTTTGTAATTGCATCTCATTGATTCAATTAAAAATTAAATTAAAACATGTTTGCCTGAGCACCTGTGGGGTAGGCAAATCATGTTTATATTGAAGGTCAGAGTAAAGAATAGCTGCCCCTTAAAGGAGAGCCCACGGAAATAATACTAGCAGCACCACAGTGAATTTGAACTTGATGGAACATTAGCTAAGTGTTCCATGGAACTCAACTTTCTCCCTCTAGCACCTTATTGGTGTCTCACAGCAAAACTATTTTAGAGGCACTTTTCTTTTTTTTTTCCTTTTTGGGTCACACCCGGTGATGCACAGGGGTTACACCTGGCTCATGCACTCAAGAATGCTCCTGACCGTGCTCGGGGAACCATATGGAATCCTGGGAATCGAACCTGGGACAGCCAGGTGCAAGGCAAGTGCCCTACCAGCTGTGCTATTGCTCCAGCTCTGAGGTACTTTTCTTAACAGCCACTCAAGCATAAACTGTCACAGACATTTAGGTGTAGAGCACTTAGCTTGGAGGAGATTCCAGGAAGCGGAAGTGGAGAAGTCACACTATGGGGTTGGAAGGGTTTAAAGCTGATTAAATGTGTCTTGATCGACACATCGTCACTGGGGCTCAGAACCACTGGTACTTCTGGGACCAATGTGGGATGCAGCTCAGAATGGCCCCGCTTGCAAGGGGAAGCTGGGGTACTCATGTGACGTGTTGTAGGAATGTTAACTTGGGGTTGTAACTAGGGGGCTGAACAACATTCTACTTTTTTTGAGGTGCTGGGAATAGAACCCAGGGTCTCATACACGCAGAGCATGTGTTCTACTATGAAGCCACATCCGTGGCTTTTGGAAGACCTTTGAGAGAAAGCAACAGGTCACCTGCAGAGTCCACTTCAGCAGGAGTAGGTACCTGTATGGGACTCTCCACCCAACTCAGTGAAATTGGGGTGATCCATGGGACTGTGGCTTGGCCTATCATACACACCCACTATCGCACTCCTGGAGCCCCATCCTGATCAAGAGAAAACTGTGTTTAGAGATGCAAAGATACTTGCTAATGGCCACAGCCAGTTGAAGCTAAGCTCAGATTTAGACCCAGGGCTTTCTGCTCCCAAGTCTGAGCTGCTGACCATTAAGCCTAAGATAAGAGCACCTGAAATCTACATCTTCCAATATGGCAGCAAGAAAGATATTGCAGCAAGAAAGATTCCTTAGGGAATGCCCTGCCACAGAGGTAGAGTGGGATGGGGGGTTAGGGGGTAGGAGCGATACTGGGACTGGTGGTGGTGGAGAATAGGCACTGGTAGAGGGATCGGTATTTGATCATTGTATAAATGAAACCCAAGCACAAAAATTTGTAAGTCTACAACTGTACCTCATGGTGTTTCACTAATAAAAATTTAAGGGAAAAAAAAAGAAAGAGCCTTCCTTCACACAGCCAACATAAAAGCTTATCAGGACTCAAGTTCCTCTGTGGTGGCCTCTCAAAGTTCCAGCATCCCTCCCTTCAACCTATGTGTACAGCCAGTAAAGTCTGGGGGAGCCAGGTGCTAAAAGGGATATTACCAGAGGATCAAGCTGTGAGACTTTACACATGGTGACACTGCATTTACCAGGGGAATAGCTGTCCTGTCATGGATTCTGAATGGTCTGCAGAGATTCCCAGAGCTCAGGCTGGTTTCTCTGTCTCATGTTCTGGGATGCATAGCAAAATCCTATAATTTTTTGATTCCCTGGAAGTCAGACACTTGCAAGCTGAATTTATGATGAGCTGGTGCCTAATTATCTATGCTGTTCTACCAGCTGTGACAAAGCCTAAGGTGTTTTTTAATTTTATTTTTTATTTTTTAATTTTTATTAGTAAAACACCATGAGGTACAGTTGTAGACTTACAAATTTTTGTGCTTGTCAGAATGCCACCCGCTTGGAGCAGAAAAGCAAATGGACTATGTGTTAAACCGCGCCAGCATGCCTGCCCGGAGGGGAAAGGGTGTTGACCCACTCGCCCGCTCCTCTCTGGAAAGAAAGATGGTGGCCGCACGGGAGCCTTGTGGACAGCAGGTTTGAGCCGGGGGTGAGGGGCGGCAGGGGCCTCATGGGAAGGGGGGTGTTCTGGGCCGTCCTTCACGCCCGACCGAGGTCACCAGCTGCCCCCCACGAGCGGCTCTCCGGCACGGCCACGACTCCAGAGCACAGAAACCAATCTCTTAACTATCTAACTTTTAATAGAAATACTTCCAGGGTCAATAAGTAAAATAGCAGAAATCCAAAACCACGTGGCCGCGATAGCGGCCACGCGATATCATTTTATTCTTAAACCCAGCTGTAGAAAGCAAATCATTTCACAATGCTGTTTCAGCATATCTGATTGGGCGGGGGGTTGTAAACTCTAAACAATAATTGTGCATCTTCTATCGAAACAATGTATCTAGTCAAAGTAGATAGACTATTAACTAGAACTCATCTGCCTCACAGGAATTGGGAGGGGTGGGAGGTGGGGTTCTATTGGGGTTCGCAGTTAAAAATAAGTATTGGTAAAGGGAAATGTGTTTGATACTTACATGACTGAGACCTAAACCCGAAAGCTCTATAACTTTTCCCACAGTGATTCAATAAAGAAATAAATTATTAAAAAAAATAAAAATAAAAAAAAAAACAAATTTTTGTGCTTGGGTTCCAGTTATACAATGATCAAGTACCCATCCCTCCACCAGTGCCCATTTTCCACCACCACGGGTCCCACTATCCCTCCCACCCCTATCCCCCATCCCACCCTGCCTCTGTGGCAGGGCATTCCCTTTTGTTCTCTCTCTCCTTTTGGGTGTTGTTGTTTGCAAAAGAGGCGTTGAATGGCAATCATGTTTGGTCTATAGTTAAGCCTAAGGTGTTGAGTCCATAATGTGGTTCCATCAGGTGAGGGGGTCTGTCTACTCTGGACTCCAGTGAGAAGAAAGCCCCCTTTTAACTTTTTTTTGAGCACTGGAGTGAGAAATTCTCCATGATCATAGTGGCAGCTGATAGTAGCAATGCCCTTGTGATGCTCTTCATGCATCTAAATGTAAGAGTCTGACACTTGAGCACTAAGGTATCCAGCAGCCAGAGAATGGGACTCAATGAACATGTGGACCCAGGCTTGATGACAGCTAGAGCCCTGCGGCAGCTTGATGTGCTCTGGGTTTGCCTTCTGGAGAACGGCAGGAGTCACAGGCCCACAAACATTGTGGCAAGGGCTGGAGAGATAGCACGGTGGGCAGAGCACTTTCCTTACACATGACCGACCTGGGATTTGATCCCTAGCCCCTTACATGGTCCCCTGGGACCCCCCTACCCACCAGCCTCAGGAATGATCCTTGAGTGCAGAGCTAGGCTGTAGGCCTACAACAAAACAAAATTAAACTAAAAACTGTTTGGGTCCTAAACCCTGAGGGTTGATGACTACCAGTCACAACCCCAGAAGCCAGCCTCTGCTGACAGACACATCCTTCCTGCATCCTTCGTCCTTAAATCTTATTTTAAGGATTTTAAAGTAGGTTGTGATCAGGGAATAGGGTGTGAAATGTAGCAAGGATTGGTGATGTGGTCCAACAGGAAGACGAGGTTGTGACCAGCCCAGTCAACATTTTTTGGTTGGATTTTTAAATTTTTTTCTTTGTGGGGCTATACCTAGTAGTGATCAGGGCTTACTCCTGGCTCTGTGCTCAAGGATCACTCCTGAAGATGGGATGTGGGGATCAAACCTGGGTCAGCTGATGCACGGCAAATGACCTACCCATTGTACTATGACTCTGCCCCCCTCAGTCAACATTTCCAGCAAAGCCAACACACATGCTCCCACATACCCAGGGAAGGAAAGATCCCCTCAAGAGAGAATACTGAACTGGGAAACACTGTGGTGCCATGACCCAAGGCTACTCACCAGAACATCGGAGTCCATTGCCTTTATATCCCTGCTTGCATCTACACTTGAAGGATCCCTGGGTATTGAGGCAATTGGCATGGTGGCTGCAGGTATGGGTCTTCACAGCACATTCATTTATATCTGGAAGCATGAACATTCCCGTGAGCAGGAAGGTGTTAACAGGGCTGGCTGAAACACTATGCATCACAGCCAGCAATCCCAACACTCTGCACCATCAACCCACTAAGCACCACCTGGATACCTGGGTCCCCATTTGGCCCGACACCTGGTGTCAGGGCAGTGTGTGTGTACAGTCCATTCCCCATCTCCAGCACCCCTCAGCAATTTTGCTTTCTGTTTATTGACCCCACTGGAATCTATAAGGTGTCTACGTGTCTTGCTTGCCTATTTCCTCCAGTGAATTGGGAACTATATGACTGTCTCAGAAGGGAAAATAGAACGCATGGGAGAGTCTGGAGGTCCTAATAAACACAGGATGAGATGAGCTAGGAGCTGCTGACATCATCTGGAATTATAGGCGATTTGTGGAGGGGCTGCCAGGAGCAGAGGTCAGGCTGGTCTGAGCTCGTCTGCTGGATTCCAACTAGGAAAGTTTGCCGGATTTCACTCAAGCACGAGGTTCATTAGCTCTTTGCTCCGCCCCACTTTCTATCCGAACTTCGGAAAATCCAGTCACACAAAACAGCCTATTGTTTTCAAGCTAGTCACAAGGAGAGCTCAGATGCTAACTTCTCCCACTTTTCAAATCACAAAAGTCTCTTTGCTTTGGCAGCTGGCCTTGTGAATTCCTACCTTGTTCGGTGCCTAAGTTCCTTTTGGAACCCAGGGACTAGGCACAGCACCGCTGGGTTACAGGGCTGCTTCTCTGCAGGAGGTGTGGGGTTCCCATTCCACAAGAAACTCGACATTTCTAAGAGGATTTGCCCAAAATTCACCAGAGGGTTCAAAACCCAGGAACAGAGGATTGCCCTAACATGATCCTGCAGGATGCATCCTGGGACGTTCTGAGGGAAGAGTTGAAAGAAATCCTCCTTCCCTCCTCCAACTGCTAGCTTTCCATGTCATGTCCACTGGTTGCTTCACAAACTACACGAACAGAAATGTATGGGAGCCCAAAGTTTCCTTCATTTAGGACAGGCCCTGGCCCGTCTTCTAATAAGACCAGTGGGGAAATGGTTCGCCAACATTCAACTTCACTTACTTCTTGAGTCTTGAAGTCCCTCCACTAACTGATAAAATAATTTGATTTCACACGGACCAGACCAATAGCAGAGTAACACCAGAACCGTATTAGAGCATGTCTCTGCAGGCAGAAAGTGAAGGGACTGGAATACTTGTGCTGTGAGCAGCCTCAAAGATGAGACATGAAAGTACAGGAGCCTTCATCGCTATACTACATTTGGCTAAGGCTCTTCCTGTTAGCAATGGGACACTGAGCTCAAGATTCAGTAGGTTGGGTCACTCTTTCTTTAATCAAATATATGTTGCTGTATTTACTATTCCCATTTAGATATGTGGTTGGCGAGAAACCAAATAATGGAAATAAAAACAAAAATTCCTATAACCCTATAACTCCTATAACTCCTAAAACCCACAGAACTGAACTCTGTCAGTTCAAAGAAAACTAACTATTTGGCCCCATTAACAGGCTAGATAGACTGAAGTTTCTGAGTTTAAATCTCGTTTGATCTGGCTTCTTATCATTCGTGACAGATCTTAGTAGACTCGATAGTAGAACACATGCTTTCCATGTATGAGATGATCGGGGTTTTATTCCTGACAGCAGAAAAAAGAATTCTTCACATGCTAGAAACTTCATAGCATTTTCTGTATTGGTTGGCAAGCACAGTAGATTGTTCAATTTATTGATGGAATTCTTATCAAGGATTCAGTAGAGAAAGCTGGTGGGTTGGGTAGGAGTGCAAAAGAGGGAAAGGAACCATTAAATCTTACCTATACAATCATACCGGCCACTAATATATTTCAGTTCAAAACCAATATGACATTTGCAGTAGTAGCTTCCAAATGTGTTCACACATCTTCGATTGTAGGGGCAGACGGATTTACCAGACGCACACTCATCGATATCTAGGATGTACAACCAGAATGTATTGGTGATAGCAAGATTTCCTTCCTTCCCCGACAGACAGTCATGCTACAGAGGTGCTGGCAGCTAAGTTCACCAAACCCTTATATTCAGGTTCTGCTCTCACTTTCAGAGGTCATATCAAATATATGTCATCTTGTGTTATCTTGAATTAAACATGTGAGTTTGGTCTGATTACAGTATTCCAGGCATTCTGAAAATATAGGTGTTGGATTAAGATTACTTGTCCGGGATCACTTTTGTGTGCATTGTCTTTTTCATACACAAAACAGAGAGCTGGGTAAAAATTTGTCATCCTTTTGGGTTAAGAATTAGCCTTCTCGAAGTATATGGCTTGTGTCAATTCTATGATCATGTTTTAGTGACTTGTGATCTGACTTTACTGGAACTAGTGTTGGAAAAAATACACCTGAATTCTGCTAATGCGATGGTGTTCTCTCCTGTATTTGTTTAAGAATTATCATTCTTGGGGGCAGAGTGATAGTACAGTGGGTAGGGCATTTTCCTTGCATGTGGCTGACCTGGGTTCAATCCCTGGCATCCCATATGGTCCCCCAAGCACTGCCAGGAGTAATTTCTGAGTACAGAGCCAGGAGTGACCCCTGAGCATCGCTGGTTGTGACCCAAAAAGCAAAACATAAAAAATAAAAGAATTGTAAAAAAAAGGAATTAGCCCTCTCATAGAAATGTACTAAACAGCAATAAACCCTTTGAATCTAATTTAATCTTTTATTACTTTTTGTTTTGTTTTGTTTGAAGTCACACCCAGGAGTGCTCGGGGGCTATTCCCTATTCAGGGGTTGCTCATGGTGGTAGTGTGGAACATGCTGGCCAGAGATCAAACATAGGGCCTTGTGCACACCAGTCATGGGTTCCAGTCCTCTGAGCTATTTTCATGGTTCCAATCTTTGATTACCTTTAGTGCAGTGTCAATTTTTTATTGGCATGGATTAAAAAAACAGTATTTCATTGGTTTAAGATCTATTTAGAGAATCTTTATAGGAGAAATTGGCGTTCCCTCCAGCACCTTGACCAGGAAATATTCCAATTGTAGTATGGAAGTAAGAATACGAAACCATGTTTGTTTATTTAAATGAAAAGGAACTCTCTTAATCTTCTGATTGGGTTTGATGTGCCATATGAATGCTATGTGCTTTTTAATGTCATGCACAAATGCAATGCAATTATGTACAGTACTCTAAGTGTATATAATTTGGTGGCTGAATACAACTGAAATGCAGATGGGAACTAAAGCACAGAAAAGTGTTGGATTAGTCATTGAGGGGACCCTATCATAGCCCCGTGGCACTTAACACTTCCATAACTGCCACATAAAACTATACATAAGACATCTGTTCTGACCCACATCTGGGATGACAGTGTCAGGAGGTCAGTTCCTTTGACCCAGAAAGAAAGCTCTCCCAGTATCCCAGACATGCAGGACATTTAACCTGCTTATTGAATTACCCTACCCATGGAGGATGCTTCCTTTTCTTGGGTTTTTCCCTATTGAGCTACTTTTCCCTAGTACCCCTCCCACATCAACTGTGTCTCAGGGCCAGCGTCTACAGGACCCACAGCTGATACATGGAGTCACAGAAAGAAGAGTGACTCCAAGTACCCTAAATTCCAAACCATCAATCTGATGAAATTTCAAGTTACAAATGAAAGCTCTATCTACTTTAAATTGACATTATTCATTACATTTTCTTATTTTCTCCAAGCTAAATCAATTAGGGAGTACTTTGTCCATACAATTTAAAGCAAGCTTGAAAGACAATGAGGGACCATGGATTAAGCTCAAAGGTAACGTAATTGCTCTGCATATGTGAGGCCCTGGGATCCATTCCCAGCACTGCAAAAGAAATAAATGAATAAAGACAACATGAAGTTGGTCACACCTGCTTAAACAACAGAGACGGTATAAATCCCTTTCAATACTCTTATACCTAAAGAAAAGTGTATATGAACTTTTTCCAGGAGAACATCAGCTAGAATTTAAAGTAAAACCCCATGCACCTCAGAACACAATTCACAGAATGACAATAAGAAGCAGGAAGATTTTCATTGCATGCAAATTGAAATTCAATGTAAATGCTCAGTATAGGACAGTAAAATGACATTTTTCCTTCTTCCACGATGGCTTAGGCCTCTTCTAGAGAACAGAGAAATGCTCTTCCAAGCATGCCAAAGTGACCCTTTTATGGAGCGTACGTGGCTAAAGACATCTTGGAAAGGGACGTAAATCTCTACTTTTTTTTTTTTTTACTTTTTGGGTCACACCCAGCGATGCTCAGCGGTTACTCTTGGCACATGCACTCAGGAATTACTCCTGGTGGTGCTCGGGGGACCATATGGGATGATGGGAATCAAACCCAGGTCAGCCGTGTGCAAAGCAAATACCCTACCCGCTGTGCTATTGCTGCAGCCGCAAATCTGTACTTTCAGAAGTTTACAATGTTGAGTTTACTGGCAGATCATGGCAAACAGAAACAGGAATTAAGTCCTGAGAGAAGGCTAGGGAGTTGGGAGGATGCTCTCATACCTGTACAAGCTCTTCCATTGGGGGCCAGGCGGAGTCCCGAGGATGGGCACAGACAACGTGGCCCTTCCTCTGTGTCTTCACAGTCATATTGGCAGTTTGTCATGGCACATGTTCTTGAACCTCAGAAGCAGACAAGAGTTAGCTTCTACCATCGAGGAGGATAAGAAATGCTTTTTGAAAAACAATACCTTAGTTCAGAGACATAGTCTGTAACATGTGTCAGGGTAGTATGGGTTAAGTTTCAGCGGCTATGACCCAGATGGACAACCCAATGAAACTGGCATGGTTGGTGTCTTGGCGACCTCTGGGTTGAATCCAACCCACAGTCTATTAGCTAATGGTGCTGAAATTGAACTGTCTCCAGGTGGAACACGGACCCCTCCAAGACATAAATGTAGCTTTCATTTCAAATCACTCCTCTATACAATTTGCTTGGACACTGGAGATAAAATACAACTTCCTAGATAGATGATGGATCTGAGCCATTAGGGTAAAGAATCCATCGCAGGGATCTCTCCACACAGAGAGAGTCCTTCGTGAGCCCACGTCAAACCTGTGGCAGTTATGACTGAGCTGCTGTATCAAAGTCACTCTGGGTCTCCTTTTCTTTGACCACTTCCATCACGGAGGCTGGAAAACCAGATACTTGTCTTCTTTCCAGCTTCCTTGGCACCAAACAAGGAGTGGCCCTATGATCCAGTTTTAGCCAAATACATAAAGGTAAGTCCCCTGGAGGGGGTGGGCATCGGGGGAAGATACTGCTGCGTGGTGATGAAAGACGTGTTTATTCATATGCCTTTCCTCTTTCATTTGTCAACCATCCATGTGTCTGCGCTATCTGGAGCTGTGGCAGCCATTTTTGCGACTCTCAGGATAGAAGCATGAGAATAAAATCGGCACTCTGAGGACGACAAAGACTAAGTCTTTGCTGAGCCGTTTGGGACCTGCTTGGTTGTAGTTTTTTATTTGATGCATTCACTTAGCTGAATTTTTGGCTGCTTGTTGCTAAACGTGTTATGTCAGAAAAATATATTTCCATAGCAGGGATGATAAGTGTCTTTGATAGGGGAGTGTGGTGAATGAATTCCCCTCTTTCACCCTTGATCTATAACATGGAAACCACCTGGTTGAAAAAGGACAAGGGCCAGGTAAAATAAAATCAGCATATCAAAGAGAAGGCTGAAGCTAAAAGCCACTTCAAGCCATTATTAGTTGGGAACCTTTGTTTCTAGAAGCATAGTACGCACACTGACAGATACACAGGTCCGGATAATGTAAGAGACACTTATCCTAGGCTGGAAGTTTAATTATTCCCTCTCTATTGTCTCTGTTTAAATGAATCTTCCCAATTTACCTAATTTTATCTTTCCATTGGGGCAAATGTATCTTTTTTGGCTCAGATTAGGCTTTCATGGAATGTTTTAGAAACATCCATTAGCGTATCTCATTTTTTAAAAAAATGTAAATGATTACAATAATAGCCTGGATAGTGTTTCCCACAGCGGGGAGGAAGGGGGGATGGTTCTGGCAAAGTGACATTTGGTAGTGGCAACAAGGGCACTCACATTCTCAGAATTCATTAAAATATGAACGTGTCTCTGTTGTTTTTTTCTGTTGTTGTTGTTTAACATAGAATAATAAGAAATTCGGGGCAAAGACTCTTTGAATGCCTGCTTTATCTCTTGTTAATAGAGAATATTTCCCCAGGAGGGATGGCACTAAGGGCAGTCAAGGGAACCCAGGTTTTCTTTTTCTTGGAGGGGGGGTTGGGTCACACCCAGTGATGCACAGGGGTTATTCCTGTATCATGCACTCAGGAATTACTCCTGGCAGTGCTCGGGGGACCCCATAGGATGCTGCGAATCAAATCCCAGTCGGCCGCATGTAAGGCAAACGCCCTACCCGCTGTGCTATTGCTCCAGCCCGAACCCAGGTTTTCTAACCCTGGGAAATGCCAGGATTAGTGGGAGAGGTCCTGAGAACAACGTTTCTGGTTTGTTGGGGGCGGCAGGGCAGAAGAGGCGATAGGGAAGGAGCTGGGAGGAAGGGATAATGGTTTTGTCCTCCAGTTGCAACAGAAAACCTGAAAGGCTCCCAGTGAGTGAGTGGATGTCGGCTCTTACTCTCCCACAGGAGGTGGGTTCTTCCTGATCACAGAACAGCTTTTCTTCTGAGGCATGCAAATCAGAGTGCATTTCCACCAAGAGTCACTAATCTTTGAGCGTGGGGGCAAGGGGCGTGAGAAAGGTACTGGTGGGAAGAATAGATACCCCAGACAGAAGTGACATTTCTCACTTCCCTACAACAAGACGCTTCTTTTATTCAGCATGCCTATTGTAATGAGGAAACTCAATACCTCCCTGCATGCATACAGATCTATGAGCGTTTCTCTTCCCAGTCAGTCCTTTTGTTTAAAGAGTTCGCGTTCAGAATAGACTGAACCATAGAAACAGGGAGCAGAGTGAAGGTGGCCAGGGACTGGGGCAGAAGTAGAGGGGGGCTATTATTGGGTGCAAGGTTGTCTTTTAATGATGATGAAGCTATTGTGATACAAGACATTAGCTGATAGTTTGACAACGTTGTTGAAATATCTAATGCCACCGAATGGTACATTTTATTTATTTATTTTTGAGGTTTTAGCCCACATCTGGTGATTCTCAGGGTGAGTCCCGGTCCTGGCTCTATGTTTTTGACACTCTTTTGTCATATGTGGTGCTTGAACTGAAATTGATGAAATGCAAGACAAGTGCTTGACCCTATGGCTTCTCTCTGGCCCATGCGTTGACTATTTAAAAATGGTTAAAATGGTGTGAAACTGTACTCTAACACTATTTACCACTGTTTCATGCCAATGTTACCCAATGGAATAAAATAATAAAAATGCCAAACTTCACATTACATATATTTTTTGTTTGTTTCTTGGGCCACACCCGGCAATGCTTAGGGGTTACTTCTGGCTCAGTGATTAGGAATCACTCCTGGCAGTGTTTGGGGGACCATATGGGGTTCTGGGGATCACATCTGGGTCAGCTGCATGCAAGGCAAGTGCCCTACCCACAGTCCTATCTCTCTGGCCCCTCATTAAATGCATTTTAACACAATTTTAAAATTAAGCGATTAAAGAGGATTTATTCTTGGGCCATCTAGAGTTGTTTCTTGGGTTTGTTTTGCTTTCCTCACTCAAGTCAACTTTTACCCAAGCCTCGATGGGCAAAGTCACCTCTCAAACACCAATGAGAGGGCCTTACTCCCTAAACTTACTTGCACAGGTGGCATCTGGCATGAGCATGTGACCACTGAGGCAAAAGCACTTGTAGCTGCCATGAGTATTCACGCATCTGTGTTGGCACGGCCGGGGTTTCACTCCACACTCATTCACATCTGCAGGGGAGCAATAAGAAAAATGGAGATAAGTAAAGGGTGACATGGAAGAGTTTGAGGTGTGGAACTCAAATTTCCATACAACATGGGAGCAATGCTCTGCCTCACCTCTGACCCTCCTTGCATGCCATTTGGGAGGGTTGGTGAGGATGTGTAGTAAATGGGATGATCAGATAGGAAATGTAAATGGGCACAACCATTTTAACAAAACATTTTGGCAGAATTTAAGAAAACTATGCATCACCTAGCAATTTCACCCAACAGAAACGTGGGTGTGTGTTCATCTACTAAAAAAACCCTAATATCAGCTCTATTTTTCATATATTTAACTGGAAAAAATCCAATATCTCCACAAAAAAGGAATGGATTGGGGCTGGAGCGATAGTACAGCATGTAGGACGATTGTCTTGTATGCGGCCAACCCAGGTTCAATCCTTGGCATCCCATATGGTCCCCCAAGCACCGCCAGGACGAACTGCTGAGTGCAGAGCCAGGAATAATCCCTTAGCATTGCTGGGTGTGACCCAAAAAGCAAAAAAAAAAAAAGAATGGATTAATGACTAGTATAAGGCACTTGTTACTTAATGACATCCTGGTCAGCAACTAACATCACATATGATACTGATCATTCATTTCACAGAAGACTGTGAAACTATGTATACACATTGATGCATTGGTACCAACTTTGTAAAAATGTATTAAAAGAGCAATCTGGAGAGGATCTGCTTTAAATGCCAATAACAGTTGTCTCCAAGTGAAAGGAGTTTTTATCTCTGTCCATTTCAAAATTTTCTGAAAACAAAGAATGAGTAACTTTTCCAGGTACATAGCTCAAGTGATAGCATGCATGTTTTGCCTTGGGTTTGAATCTCTAGTCCTTCACATACACACACACACATACACACACAGACTCTCAATAACTTCTTTAGTAAAGTGAAAAATGATACAGAAGAAAGAAAGAAAATCTGAAAAGACATCATAGTCATGGGTACAGGGCCTTGTCTTCTTGTCTTTGGAATGTGGTCACATGGGGGCTTCTTGTCTTAATTCCCTCACCGAAGTTAAAGGAGAACAAAACTGGATTCCAGGTAGGAGCAAATTCAGTGTGGCATTAGTCAAAGCTTAGCACTGTGGCACTGTCCTCCCATTGCTCATCGGTTTTCTCGAGCGGGCCCAGTCATGTCTCCATTGTGAGACTTGTTGTTACTGTTTTTGGCATATCGAATACTTCACGGGGATCTTGCTAGGCTTTGCTGAGTCAAAGCTTATCCCATCAAATAAAGAAGTGGCAGCCTTGGTGTGTAAAAAAAGAATCTTTACTTTGGGGATGGGAGAATTTTCAAACAGTGCTCATGGTGCCTGGGGGCTACTCCTGGTGAGTCTTGGCCAGTCAGGCTGACAGCTCAATATGAGGGCCTGAGAGTGCTTCTCAGGTCCGGTGGTTCCAGGGACAACCAAGAGCTGGTTGAGTGATACCCAGGGCCCTGCAGGGCTATATCCAGTTATGTGGAATGGCCTTATGGTGCTAGAGATCAAATCAGGTTCTAGATGATGCCAAGCACGCAACTCTGATTACAAGTTATCTTCCCGATCCCCCAAAAAACCTTTGCTGGGATTTTTCCAACACCCTCAATGGATATGGAACATCCCTGCTCCATTGTGTGTATCTACCTCACCTCGCGGGTCCCAGCTGATTTTAATGGGGGAACTGAAAAATGCCAAGGGGACCTAACGAGAAAACCAGCAGCATCCAATCAATTGGCCTCAATTCAGAGGTGACTCATTCATCTCTTGGAAGAAGCACTTTTGGGAAAGACTTCAGTGCAGGGCTGATGCCTGTCTCCATTAATGGATATGGATGGACTTTGATCAGGCTCATCTGGCAAGGAGGCTGAAGGGGAAGACAGACAGTCCCAAATTTGAGCCAACTGGACCGTTCCCCTCAATTTCTCTACTTTCCTGGAATTCGAAAACTAGCATGAAAAATAGCTTCTGTATTTCAAAACTCCTGAGAAGGGCTCTTCCCCAATTCCATTTTAGAATGCTTCCTGCTTTTTGATGGAAGTTGAGCTAAAGTTGCTTATCTATGTTCAACTTCATTCTTTGAGGCTATTTTCTTACTATCTTCAAATTCTTCTAGCACGGCTCTCTCAGCATCATCACTGTTGATGTTTGGGCCAAATTATTCCTTGCTGAGAGGCTGACCCATGCCCCTAGGATGTTGAGTAGCATCCCTGGTCTCTACCCAAGAGATGCCAGCAACACGTTCTCCACATACCTTCTTACATTGTCTGATGTCCCCTGGAGTCAGGCAACCAGATCCAGCAAGTGTAAATGCAGGATACTCACTTACATTTGAATTCTTGTTGACTAATATTTTTAGTATTAGTATAATACTTGAAAACTATATCCACTACAAAATGATCTGTTTATCTAAAATTTAAATCTATCTGGGTAGCAGTAGTTTATCCAGCAATGCTTCTAAGGGAACAAAATTGCTCCAGTTGAAATCACTGTTTTGATATTACAAAATTAAATTATGGAATATTACTGTTTTAATATTTAAATCTTTAGATAAGCAGGCTATAAAAATTTGTAAGATGTGTTTGAAGATATGTCAGTTATGATAAAGTGATGCATGTCATTCAGCCCATAAATCCCATTTTTATCCTATAAAATTCACATGATTTAGTACTGACTGTAATGTTGAAAAATTTCAGACAACTAACAGTGTTTTAATAAACCTATTGCTTTGAGGTGCCAGGGTTGCAAGGAATGTGATGTAGCACTGAACTACACCCCTGGCCCCAAATGAAGTCTTTTTTGCAAAATGTATCAAATTATTCATGCTAGGGACTAGGTTCCAGCCTTGAAAATTCTGTATGTCCCGATCTGCAAAGTTGTCCACAAGAAACATCTATGATTGTGCTCGCATAGAAAGGATTTTGGGGGAGAGCTAGAACAAACCACTAACTTATAAAACATTTAAAAAATGAGTTGCTTAACGGGAAAACTGGACTTTTATCTCACTTGTTGACAAAGACATTGGAATGAATTTTACATTTTTTTTTCTGGGAGGATTTAATTGAACATTCTAGTTCTAAAACCATTCTCATCTGAAGATCTGAGTTAACTCTGGGAATCCTAAGTACAATACTATAACACAAGCCCAGTCACAAAATGGAATTACTTCAAAAGCTCTGGAGTGAGTTTGCATCACCACTTGGTGTATTGTACTGACCTTGACTGCAGGTCTTCCCAGTATACCCTGGAAAGCAGCGACATTTGTTGGGTCCCACACACTCACCGAATTTGCACTTAGGTTCACATGTGGCTGTGAAAGGAAAAAGTGTTTTGACAATAAAAGAACAGTAGTAGTTAGAACAGGTGAACTTTTCCACAGGACAAAAAATCGTAGCGATATCATAGAAGATGCTATAGGTATGAGCATTGTTTCCCTCTGTCATCTGTTTTCACACATTTTTTTAAATTTGAGGGTCACATACGGCAATTCTCAAGGACTATTCCTGGCACCATGCTCATGGATGACTCCTGCCAGTGCTCAGGGGACCATACGCAGTGCTGGAGACTCAAACCTGGGTTGGACATATGCAAGGCAAATACCTTTACCACTGGACTCTATCTATCTCTGGCCCTGTTTCCACATTTACGATCCTGGAAAGTGTTTTTCTTGTAAACTAGCTCATCCCCTGACATCCCTACATCTCACAGACAGCCAGATCACTGTCATCCAATTTTTCAGGAAAATGCAATTTCGAAAAAGAAGTATAATGCAAAAATCCAAAGAGACTCTAGAGTAATTCAGAGACATGGGTTAAGGCTCCTTTTCTTTCTGTCTCTTGCCTCTTTTTTTATCTTCTATGTTTTCCTTCCTGTTTGAGTGTTTGAAATCTTTTTAAAACTGTGCATTAAAAAGGAAAAGTCCATGGATCCGAAGCAGGAAGAAAATACCTCCAGACTTAAGGATGGATCTCAACAGTGCGATGATAATGCTGATAATGTTGTGATGTGTTGCTCTTTATTATGCTGATGATGGTGATAACTGTGGTGGGGATGATGAAAGAGGTATGAGAAAGTAAGGGTTGTTTTTGTTGCACTCATATATCGATACACTTGACCAATCAGGCACTTATTAAATATTTGTTTGATGAAAGAATGATAGGAGAAAAGATAGCATGTTTAACTGACTCAGTTGGAGGCCAGAAGAAAACAGTTCAAGGATCAAAAGTTTGAAGTCAGCTCTTAAGGAGGATGTTGTGTGGGAAAAAGTCATAGGAGATTGCACTTATTTGTGGAATGAGTGCAATGAATTTGTGAAGTGATTACAATCAGTTGTGGAATATAAAAAATATGAGACTAATACCTAAGAACAGCAGGAACAAGGGCAAGGAGGATTAGTCTATGGTTGGAAACCTGCCTCAAGTGCTGGGGGGAAGGCAATTAGGATAGAGAAGGAACCATTATGACGAAGATGGTAGGAAATGATCACTCTGGATAGGAACTGCATGCAAAAAGTAGGTAAAGGAACAAACATGACAACCTCTTAGTATCTGAATTGTAGACCATAGTGCCCAGAAGAAGAGAGAGAGGTGGGGGAGAGAGGGGGAGAGATGAAAGGTGGGGGGAGAGGAGAGGGGGAAAGAGAGAGTGAGAGGGAGAGGAGAGGGGGAGAGAAAAGGTTAGAGAGAGGAGAGAGAGAGAAGAAAGAGAGAGAGAAAGTGCCTGTCACAGAGCCATTAGAGGTAGGCTTGAGGGGTGGTGGTGGGAGGGAAACTGGGGTCATAGATGGCGGGAAATGGACGCTGGTGGAGGGATGGGTGTTGGATTATTGTATGATTGAAACTTGTTCACGAACAGCTTTGTAACTACGTATCTCACAGTGGCTCAATTGAAACATAAAAAAATTAAAAAAGAAGTGTTGGCAAGCTTAAAGAAAGTTATAGGATAAAAGGGAAATGGGGAGGGGGCGAAGAATGAGTGAGAGAAATAGAGAAAACTGAGCAAGAAATGAAGGAATAAGGAGGTGGATAGGGAGTTGAGTTCCCAGTAGTTTCTGGATCTTCAGTAGTTTGTAGCTGAGCATCCTTCACCCAGATCCTCCATATTCCAGTAGGCGGGGGTCACACCCACCAACTGGCTCCTTGGCACCGTGTAATCCCATCAATGGCCAAGGCCCAGAGACTATAAAACCCAGCTCTCGGAAGCGCGTGGCCGCATTTGTGGAGGCACAACATCTTATTATCTTATTCTTACTTTGGACAAACTGGCAGGCTACCGAATGTACCTGCCCACACGGCAGAGTCTAGCAAACTCCCCGTGGCATACCCAATATACCAAATACCAGTAACAATGATGGGTCTCATTCTCCTAACCCTGAAAGAGCCTTGAATATGGCACTTTTTAAAAAATCAGAGGGTAGGACGAAGGAGACGTTACTGGGGCCTGCTCGAGGCAATTGACGAACAACAGGATGGTTGTGATCGTGATTGTGATCAGTAGTTTGTAAACAAGCACAGTAAGAGAGAATGACAGCAATTGCCAAGGAATTCTCTTCCCTCTGCTCATTATTGTTCTGGATCACTATAGGCTCAGTTCTGAGCAAGCCTTTTCCTCAAGGGAACACCATCTTTCTATTTAATCACAGACTCTACTTTTCTGTTAGTATCACATTATTTTCCCAGTTACATAAACTCAGTCTTGGTCAACTCTGAATATTTTGTCCCCAAACTTAACACTGTAGCACTGTAGCACTGTAGCACTGTCCTCCCATTGTTCATCAATTTGCTTGAGCAGGCCCAGTAATGTCTCCATTGTGATTTGTTGTTACTGTGTTTGGCATATTGAATACGTAACAGGTAGCGAGACACACTCAGTAGCTTGCCAGGCTCTCCGAGAGGGGCAGAGGAATCGAACCCAGGTCATCTGGGTCGGCTGCGTGCAAGGCAAACGCCCTACCTGCTGTCCTATTGCTCCAGCCCAAACTTAACACATACAAGACTTTTTGAATTGTCTTTGCCTCACATTTTGTTGAAACCAAACACATGCTATCACACTTTTCCCCAACTCATTCAATGAACATATACGGTCTAGTATCCATTTGGTGCCTCATATCTGGAAAATTATGCTACCCCCTCCTTTCTCCTCTCCCTACTGCTGAAGGACTCTAACAACTCAGTTTCTAATAGGAACAAACTCTATGGTACAACTGATAAGCCAGACTTCCCTGTTCCACAACATTAATGTGAGACTTCCCTGAAAACCACATCTTGGGCTAGCTTCTTTCTCAGTTTCCTCACTCCCTTGAAGAGTTCTCTGAAGAGTAGCCCTCAATAGACTATCTGGACAAAAATCCCTTTACAGGTTCTGCCTTAGGAATTCAGATGTCAGAAACAACATTAATTGGCATCTCAAAGGCCAGCTCTGATGGCCCCACACTTGGTCAGTTACCATGCACTATGTACTAAGGAGTGAATAATATTAACTCTTCTGAATACAGTGCAGGTTTCATAATCACGATCTGATCTTGGTCTTCTTTTCAGCCTTAGTTAATTCTGTGCTTTAGACATAGACAATACTATGGCAAAGCTAAACTATCTCTTCTTTTTTTTCTTTTTGGGTCACACCCAGCAATGCACAGGGGTTACTCCTGGCTCTGCACTCAGGAATTATTCCTTGCAGAGCTTAGGGGACCATATGGGATGCTGGGAATTGAACCCAGGTAGGCTGCATACAAGGCAAACGCCCTACCTGCTGTGCTATTGCTCTAGCCCCTAAACTATCCTTTTTCCATTGATTGCTACCCTAGCCTGGTGGGCCCTCCTTTAATGGTTAGTATTCTTCTACCCTTCCAGGACCTTCCAGAGTTCCTCCTCCTAGAATTTTCACTGTTTTCTCCAGCCACACGTGAACTTCTACTAGCCTTTCAGATAGCCACAGACCTTTTATAGCTTCACCCATGAACGGGTCATCTCCATCTTATTAAATAATTAGACAAATATTTGACTTTTTATCCTTGGCTTCTCTCTACTCCCTGATTCTAAGTACTTTTGGCTTGAACATTCAGCTTGGTTTTCCCTACAGTATTTCATAGTGCTATGAACCTGCTAAATACTTAAATGGTCTTGAGAAAATCAGAGGCGTAAAACAAAACAGGGGGCATTTTAGGGTTCTGGGCTAATTACAAATGAGAAGGTGGGGGAGATGTGTTTCCTAAAACAATTCTTCCACTTTTAAAGCAAAGAGAGAATTTTATTTCCAGTGCCTCTTTTTTATGGATATGTACTTGGAGACACAACTTTTGAGTTTAGATGTCAGAGAAACAAATCTCTTTTCCTTTTTTCTAAAGGCTGAACGCCTTTGATTGTTCCCTGGAAAGTCATTTCCAATGCGGTCCAGACAGAAAAACCCAAGATATCTGCCAAACAGAACAGAAGAGAAATGGTGAATAATATCCTGCCTGCTGTCAGGTTAAAGCTCCAGAAAGATGTTTTCAATTTACAATCACTTTGGACCCAGGACATGAGCAGCCAATCCTCTGCACGGGCAATTTGAGTTTCTGTCTAAAATGGCCCAAGACTAAAGTGAGATTGAAAGCGAAGCTCTTAGGGCTGGAGTGATAGCACAGTGGGTAGGTCATTTGCCTTGCACGCAGCTGACCCGGGTTTGATTTCCAGCATCCCATATGGTCCCCCAAGCACCGTGGGAGTAATTCCTGAGTGCAGAGCCAGGAGTGCAACGCCAGGTGTGACCCAAAAAATAACAACAACAACAAAAAGCGAAGATCTCTTACTCAGGTCTCTCCCTGCCTCCTCCAATTGCAGCTTTTCCTGGAGGACTCTCCCCATCTCACAAGTTGCAGGTTAATGAGATGGTGGCATGAGCGGACCCTGTCCTGGGAGAGACACAGGCAGAACAGAGGCCGCACCTAGACCAGGCATCTGAGGAATGGAGGGCACACAGCTGATGGAGGCGAGGCCTGGGCAGACCTCACAGGCCGGGGGCTGGCTGCCTGCTGGGGCAGGTTGACATACCCTCTTGTCTCATTACCACACTGTGACTTGGAAATCAGAAACACTCCGACTTGGAAATACTAACCTCCCTCCTTGGGAGGCACTTTGGGGAGCATGTAGTTTTACCTATTGGGAAGGACTGCACAAATTGAAATGCGAAACTGAGTTTTAATCCGGAAGTCATGGCCATGTTGTGAGTCTGACCATCTGACCGAGACAGTGTGTGTGTGTGTGGGGGGGGCATTCTCTTTAGTAGGCGAACTGGCATAGGTGAGCATTTTGCTGATTGAACATCTTGCTTTCCTTGGTGCCTCCAGAGCCCTTCCAGGACTCCCTACAAGTCCTGAGAAGAAAAGTGCTGGGCTGTGGGGATTGTGGTCAAACTGACCTGAACTGGTTCCAGAAAAGCTCTTCCAGAAAGCCAAAGCTCACCCTAACTTATTTCCCCCAGACACATACATGCTCTAAGGCAGTGAGTGTTGTCGAGGTTCAGGTGATGGAAAAGATTCCCAATTGTGTACCACCTGGGTTGTGCCACTTTCCACCTGTTTGACTTCCAATGAAACTGTGTTAGGTTGTGTCAAGATAAGGCATACAAGCAAACTGACCATCTGACTCTGGTGCTTTATGTTGGAAGTGTGCGATGAGTTTTTAGTTCTTTCTGAATCAAGGGTAATTTCTGAGGCCTGTTTGAGGTGTTTAGGAAAGCGCATAACCCTTAGTGCTTTCACTCTGCACCCTCTGAGGTAGCGTTGTTCTTCCTGTGCTGCTGTGGAAGGAACAGAGGCCCAGTGAACTAACCTACTTGTATCGAGGGCATGCACTTCATTGTGGTTCTCTAGACAATGTCCTTGCTCCTGACACCATAAATCCCTGTGGTGTGACAACCATCCTTTCAACTGACAACATCTGGATGGGGAGTGCTTGTCTAACTTTATCGAGGTGGACAATCAGTAGTGAACTTTTATTATATATTTTTATTTTCTCCCCATCCTCTATTTCCTCACAAGGAAGTGGACAGTGGGAGATTCCACAAGGTATTGAGCATAAGAGAATGTCATCACATCTGTCAATGTTTCATAGGTTTGGATTAGGATCAAGTTCTGTACTCACCTATGCTCTATCCAGATACATTTGAACCAGCTGAAAGGGAGGAGGTGGGCATAGGGACAGACAAGCAGAAAGAAGGGAGCACGGTTATTCTTGAAAATGCCTAACATTTTTTTGTGCTTTATAATTTATAAACCATTTTGACCTATAGCAATGCTTAAAGAGCACAGAGCATGCCGTCACATGCCAATTCTATTCCACACATGAGGGACTTTGGTTAAGCCATATGCCACCTACTACAGACACTGGGGCAGTGAGTCCAGATTCCTTCTCTTCCCTGTACATGAAGACATACATAAGGATAAGAGCAATGTGGGTTTGACTCCGCCACACTGTCATTGCTGGTTATTAGAGAAAATGCTATAATACTTGCCATCCCCAACTCTTTCAACGATATCCATATCCTGTCTCAGAGTTGCTATCATAAACTGGGTACAATGTCCACAGCAGATTGTGGTACCTGACTTCAAATATGTATGTAAGAATCTGAAAAAAAAATTAAATCTTGCACATATGCATGAATCTCCTTGAAACCCAGTAGAAACTGGCACAATGAGCTTTTTAGAAATGTGAGAAACAAAACTATTAAGTAAATGGTTTTACTTTTCTGTGACTAAAGTCTACTGGCTGGCTGCTTGGAATGAAAATGTGCTTAAGAGAAATGCATTTTTAGTTTTCTTTAAGAAGTGCATTTCATTAGAAATCAGTTGGAACAAATTATTATTTAAAGGAGGCATCTATTTCCTTATTTTCACTTAACTCAGTTTCTCCAGATTTTAAAAAAAGGCAACCACAAGTAGCTAGTCATACTTGCTATGAGAATAATAGCGATCATTGACGAGGAGTCCCCTAAAACAAATCACATCTTAGAGAACACCTTTTGGTGTTACAAATATAAACTTAAGGACCCCGGCTCTTCCTTAGCACAGGGTAGTCTTGACTTCTTACAAAATTACCTTCACAAACTCCTCGGCTGCCCCTTCTCCAGCCATAGCAGCAGGCCAGTTTGGTTCCATAGTGACAAAGTCCAGGCTGCAGCACAATTGCTGATGAGGACAATCCATGATGCCTTGAACTGCAAATAAAGAACCAGGTATTATAATTCAGTCAACAGAAAGAATAACACCCTTCTTAGTTACTACATAAACACATGAGATGCCAGTTCATTTTTTTCTTAAATTTTTATTAGTGAAACACCATGAGGTACAGTTGTAGACTTACAAATTTTTGTGCTTGGGTTTCAGTTATACAATGATCGAATACCCATCCCTCCAGCAGTGCCCATTCTCCAACCACCACCAGTCCCAGTATCCCTCCCACCCCCCATCCCCCTCATCCCACCCTACCTCTGTGGCAGGGCATTCCCTTTTGTTATCTCTCTCCTTTTGAGTGCTGTGGTTTGCAGAAGAGACATTGAGTGGCAATCTTGTTCAGTCTATAGTCTACTCTCATCATGCATTTCCCATCCTGAGAGGAACCTCCCAACACCCTTTATTTGGTGCTCCCTTCTCTATCTGAGCTGCCTTTTCCCCTAGCGTGTGCGGATGCCAGTTCATTTTTGTGGACTGTTTGTTGTTCAATTTGGAAGACTTAATTTTGGGAAAGCAAACTATTGCCACCACTCTTTCAAGCCTGCCTGTCCCCCAGGAATTAGTGTCATCACACTTTCTTACTTAGGTTAAAGGAATGGGGTTATGCAATCTATACAATGAAGGTACAAGGAAATGACCTGAAATGTATGTCTCTGAATTGTGCAGAGAGGTATGCTTCAACTCTGCTCTGTAGAGTCACAAGGATTAACCATTTCGGTCCATGTTAGAAGTGAATGTGAGATTGTCACTTCCTAGCTTTGTCCCAGACAAAGATGATGCACTCTGTCCCCATTAGTCACTTGGGAATGATGGACCAAACTGGACTCTCCATGACATGAAAGACAATAGAGAGCTGGAAGGGCTCTGGGGCTCCCTCAGCAAAGCTGTCAGATGAGGAAGTCCCTGCCCAGAGGAGTGAAACCCCTGCAGAGTCAGATGCTGGAGATTCTGGAAATGCCTTCCAGAAACACCATAGGCTAAATGCTTACTGTGGAGCAGGGGTGGGCAAACGCTTTCCAAAAAGGGCCAGATGGTACATATTTCAGACTGTGTGGGCTATACAACTTGGTCCAAGAGCAAAAGCAGGCATAAGCAATAGTCAACAGATGGATGCAACTGTGCTCTCTAGAACTTTATTTAAGGGCACTTAAATTTGAATTGAATATGTTTATCCTCTGCCATGGAATAGAATTATTATTCTGATATAGTCTTAACTATTAAAAATGGTAAGAACCATCCTCAGGTCATAAGTCATGTGAAAACAGAGGACCAACAAGCCATGGCCTGCTCACTGACCCTATCTGAATCCTGCGATAGTGAGCCCTGCCACTAAATGTCCCCCAAGGACTCAGGGCCAGGGAGGAAGTCCACCATGTGTTCAGACAGGGTGGCCAACAGATTCTGGAAGGAAAGAGTTGAGTTGTATATTTGGGAGCAGAATGGCATTGCTTCCTCTTGCATTTTAAATACATTGCAAAATGTGGGCTCTTTAACAGACAAGGAATGCTGTAATTTTTGTTGCAGGACTTAACTTCATCCAAGTTAATATCTTAATTGGGGTCAAGAAGTTAACCTTGCATATCTCTCATGTCCAACCTCACCCTACAATTTGGTTATTCAGTTAAAAGCTACAAAGAGGTGGACAAAGAGGTGACACAACCTATTTTATTAACAGGGACCACCATGGGCAAGGGGAACTGTGCTAGTTTCTTTGCTGAAGGGAGCTGTTTTTGTCCTTCAGTGGAAATATTTTTTGGGGGGTGCTGATTGTGAGTCAATCATTCCACTTTTAAAGGCAGAGACTGTCAATCTTTACATGACTGATAAGGGCGGCCAGATAAATACTTGTTGGGGAAGGTGGCTTGCCCTGCGCACTGTAGGATGTTGTACAGTACCCCAACCTATAGAAGCCAATAATGCTCATAGCTTTAGTTGGTATAACTAAAATGTCTACGGATATTGTCAAATGTGTCTATTTGAGGGAATTTTTCCCTTCTAAGTATCATTAATTGAAAGTGAAACATCTACTGTGCAATTGCTGTATCCCAAGCACTGTATTAAGACAGAGTGATGATCAAGACCTTATATTTGCTCTTTTAAGTTCAATTGACTATGGCTCTACTTATAGCACAGGAAAGCTTTGTGAAATTCATGAAACAGCTTAGGAACTTTGATGAAAAGTAACACAGCCATTAGTAACAATTCTGCAAGGAATACCACAATCTTGACCCAGATTGCATATAACTATAACTCCTAAACCAGAAGCCATAGACCACTAAACATAAAGTGTGTCAAGTAAATCACTCAAATAGCTGGTCCAAGGACAATGATGCCTTTAAATATAGATACACATAACACAAAATGTGCTCTTTTAGACCAATTCTTTTAGTACAATTCTGTGGTTTTGGTATATTTGCTTTGTTATGCAGCTATCACCACTACCTAATTACAGAATAAGTTCCATCACTCCAAGAAGAAATGCATACTTATTAGAAGGTAATCTCAGTTACCCCCTCCATCCAGGTACTCCCACACACAAATCTTATGGTTTGAATTTTTTGCATTTTTCAAGTATTTCCCATAAATGTAAATATACACTATGTAGTCCTTTAGGCTTCTTTTATTTAGCATAGCTTCGAGGTTCTTTCATGCTGGAGCATGTATCAGTTTTTCATTCTTTCCTATTTCCACAAAATCTTCTATTGGGATGAATTCTATCCTATTGGAATGACATTCTATTGGAATGATACCACACTTTATCTAGCTATTCATCAATTGGCAGACATTTAGGTTGTTTCCACCTTTTGGGTATTATGAGTAATGCTGTGGTGAACATGAGTGTACAAGCTTTTGTGTGGATTTATGTTTTAATTTCTCAGGAGAATAAAATTTCTAATTCATATGGAAACCATATGTTCAATTTTTTAAGCAAGAGGCAGATTGTTTCCCAAGATGGTTACATCATTTTACATTCCTACCAGCAACATATTAACGTTCCAATTTCTCCACATACTGACCAGCAGTTGTTATTGTCCGTTAATTTTGTTATACGCATTTCTCTATATTGCTACATTAATATCAAGTAGATGAGAAATGGCTGCCTATTGCAATTTTGATTTGATTTTCCTTGATGGTTAATGATATTTTGCATCTGTATTATGTTTATCAGCAATTTGTGGATCTTGTTTGGAGAAAGGTCTGTTTATTCCTTTGTCCTTTCTATTACTATTTATCTTTTGATGTTCTTGAATATTTATTGCAACTAGTCAGTAAGAACAGAAATCGCCATACTTTACTAAATAAGATAAATTGGTAACTTTGTCTCATACTGCAAAAAATTATATCTAGATCCCCAGAGAATAGGTTTTTGAACAACATACTCCTGTAATACAAAGCTCCAGCATCTATTTTCTCCTTTTTAAACAGCACAGTTGATGTTTGAGTCACAGAGTGACAGGAAGAACTAATATTGTCTGAGAAAGGAGTGGAAGATATCACAGGAAAGGTGATATTTGAGTTGGGTGTTAGAAGAAAACATGAGAAACTTGAGGGCTATAGGACATTAAAGTCTAAAGGTTAGGAAGGAACGAAGGGCTTTAAGTGGGTAACTTATTTGATAAGATCTTTCCTTTGAAAAATTAATCACAGAAGAAGTCTGGAAAATACACTGTAGGGAGACAGAAAGGATCAGGGATAACAGTTGTCTTGGAAAGATGTCTCTGGTCATTGGAACTTGGGGTAGTGGTAGAGGAGGAAATGATGCAAATAAGGTAAAAGACTTGGTAATGGATTAATCATTTATTCATTGACTTTTCTATCTAAAAATATTTATTGAACACATACAATGTATGTGTACCAGGTTTGTCTGCAAAGGTTAAGCAGAAACCAAGAAAGGACGTAAGATCTCTGCCCTTATGAAGGTTAATTTGCTTCATATTCAAGAAGGATGCATTATTGGGTAGAAGAGAGTGTTGTATTTATAGACCAATGAATATGGGTGGAGGAAGACATTCAGTAATAAGGGAAACAATGAGTTTCCTCTTGGAACATACTGATTGTGAGCTCACATTAGACAGACAACCAAGGATAGATACTGACTAGGAAGTTGGATATTTTGGTAAAAAGCCCAGGAAACATAACTGAATTTTGGAGTTGTAGTTGATTACTGGCTTTATGAGAATGGAAGTAGGGTAAGAAGGGAAGGAGGCTTAGGTCAGAGTTTAAAAGAAACTGGTGAATATGAAGTGAGCCAAGGATGAGGAGGGCCTAGAAAAAGACCCAGAAAAACTCAGAAAAGTAGAATAAATATCAGGCAAATTCAGCATTAGGAAATCCAAATGAGGAGAGAAAGAGTGTAGGAACTTTTCTGATGTTGAGAAACTATATAATATTGTGGCTAGGATAATGTTCTTCTTCCGAATTTGCATCAGACTTTATTGCTTTCATGTGAAAAGGCAAAACTTGGTCAATTTGAGGTGTATTAATTTGTTCTGAGTCATCATTTTTGACATTGTACAAAGTGTCACTGATAAAATTTTCCAAAATATTACTGGCTATCAAAAATGTAATGTGGTTTCCTTCTCTGTCCTAAGTACTGCCTTCCTTAGTCATAAATGCATCACGACTCTGTTGGAAGAAATCACACATTTGTCATTACATCTATTTTTTTACTCTCATTTGTTGAAAGAGTTGAGATAATAGTTGTTTAAAAATCAACCCATATTTAAAAATAATAAAATCAATTCTGATATTCAGGGAACTACACAAATTGAAAAAAACAGCTCAACCCCCAACTGCTCTGTGGATATGTATAGTATGTGCTTATTTCCTGAAGGAAACCAAGCAGCTTGAAACAACATTGTAGGAAAAAGCCATCAGTGAACCATGAGAGTCCATAAATGAACAACATGCCTTTCAATGAATGGGTTTACCATCCATGTATCCACCCACTCTTTAGCGATCCTTCAAAGGGATAGCCACAAAT